AAAATATCAAATTTTCGTATTAAGTCTTAAGGGTTGTAAAGCAATGTTTTTCTCATGCCTTTTTTTTTTCTTTTTGCATGTTGCCTATCCAACATGCAAAGTAACATTCATTGTCCAACTTAATTGTGTTTTTAACTTTTTATGAGCCATTGTCCTTTTTAATTCTATTTGAGTCTTTTATATGACTTTTGAACATTGTTTCATTTTTAAACATGATTTATTTTTACATTTTATAGAATTTGACTTTTACAGTTTTTACCGGTTGTTTGGCACAGATAGCTTAGTTGCTTAGCGACAAAAAATCCCAAACAACTAATTAAATTAAGAAATTAAAACGTGTATGACATTAACATTTAAATTATAAATTATGTTTTCTGCTAAGTTTATTGACATACATTCATAATAAAGTTCCGCAGAGCTGTCAGGAGATGCACACTGTGCAGCTGAGTAGAATAATAACACATGCTTAGAAGCCATTTATAATTATACAATAAAACTGGTCTACCAAGTACAAATCTGAAACTTAGTGTACCAGTATTTTGTTGAACGCAATGACATTTTGATTACCATATATTATGTATGTATGTGTATATATATATACTATTTATTCGTGAATTTTATTCATATTTATTGAATGAATAAAAAAAACAAAAAAAAACATGATTTATTGTACTTACAATATTAAAAACTCCACTTGCATTCAGGAAGCTGTTGTTGCTAACCCTTATGTTAAGTCTTATTGATTCCCTCAAACTGAGGCGACCACAAATTAATTCTTTAAAATTTTGAATATGTATTTTAGAAAACAAAAAGTTATTACCCATTAGAATGATGTGTCACAAAACTACTTTATGTGGATTTCTAACTAATGTATAAGTTGGTTAAAAAAATTAATGTATGTTTGGAGTAAGGAAATGCTTCTAAAATATATTTCAAATTAATTACTATTTTTTCAAAATAAGTTGAAAATCATACCATTTATCTAACCAGTTCTTCCTATGTTGTTAAACAAAATGTTGGTAAATTGAGATCCATTACTGGTTACAGCTGCTTAACTATCTCTTTTGTTATAAATTAAACCAATCAACGATAAAATGAGACAATTACAAATAGAAAATATTGAAAGTAATTTTACAAATACTTTTTGAAATCAATTCCAGAAACCTTTGCATCCATATAACAGAACACGTTAGGAGCACAATACGGGACAGTATTATAAGCCTATAACGACTAGAGATGCACAAGTGAATACTAAGTGTAAAGGCATATAGTGTTCAATATTTAAAGTTCTACCTAAATCCAGACCCTAGTTATTTGATTTTTTTCAGACTTTTTTATGTTTTGTTGTTTTGATATAGTCAATCCACAAGCTTGCAGAATGTCTCTTGAAGTATCAAGTTGTTGCTGAGGAATTTTGGGAGAAGGTGAGAAACTCTTACCTGAGTTATGGCACACACACACACATACACACATCTTACCTGTGTTATGGCACACACACATACACACATCTTATCTATGTTATGGCACATACACACACATCTTACCTGTGTTATGGCACACACACACACACACATCTTACCTGTGTTATGGCACACACACACAAATCTTACCTGTGTTATGGCATATACACACACACACATCTTACCTGTGTTATAGCACACACATACACAAATCTTACCTGTGTTATGGCACACACACACTCACATACAAGTTGTTGTTAGAAAGTATCTGAATATTATGTTAGCTATAAAATCAACATGCAAATAAAGTTAAGGAAAAGCAGTTTGTTATATAAAATTTAAAAACTGTTTTGGAAATTAAAGGCTGAAAAACATTTAATTAGGTATAACTATTAAATGTATTGAAATAAAAAGAGAAATACTTAAAAGTAGTTAATTTTTTTTTTACTTCAAAGATGTTAAAGCAATAATTTAGAAATAATAAAACTTGTTTCTCAGAAGATATATATTTATATAAATGATAACCTGATTTTACTGTGTGTCAATGAAAACTAGCTTTTATACTTTCCTTGATTTATTATTTAAACCATTGAAGCTTCATACTGTCAGTTATGGTTTGTGTTATAGTGAAATGCTCCTGAAGAAGCTGTAAAGCAAAACAATTAAATATATTGAAATAAATTGCCAGTTGAAAATGAATCAGTACCAACTTTGGAATTAACATTTTGAATAAACTAATTTATTTATTGTACCATTCAATAAGTATTTCAAAGTTTTAATGCACACAATATTTGGTATTAATGATGCACTGCTGTATGAAATTATGATTTAAAAAGTTGTAAAAAAGTGGTAATAAACAATTTAATTTTTCAGCTTTTAAGATTATTTATTGCCTTCAATATTTTGATAACACTCTTAAGTTGGTTTAAAGTTTTAAACTTTAGGGGGTTACATTTTCCGTTCTCTCTTTTCAGGGACTAACATCAGGGGTTGGTGTTCTACTTCAGGCTGACATGGAGGCTTTTCCCATACAACTAAGACCTTTAATGCATTTACTGAGTTCTCTAGCACAAGCTAGTCCTACAAGTTGTCACAAGGTATTCTAACATCATAGAAAACATTTTGTCACTTTTACTGTACATATAGTACAGCAAAGCAATTACATGTACTTGAACACGTGTTTATGTAGACTTGTACAAGTCTAAACTCCTGCTTTAATTGGACTGTTATGTATTAAACAGAGTTTATATAATATGTACTTGCTTGTTTTGCATTGAATAGCAGATTGTTTGCTTATTAATTCTAGCATTTTTAATGAGAATTTAAAATAACTAGCTTTTTTCTAACACTTGTGTTTGTATTTAATGTGCCAGAAAATTTGAGATGTTTTTCTTTTAGTCCTGGAGAACAGATAATTTCACCCTTGAAAAGTCTTGAAAATTTGTTCTTGATCAAGTTTGCAAACTTTGTACATGCTTTTATGAAGTATTCAGACCTTATAGTTGTAGTAAAAGCATTCTCTACACATTGTCATGAGGTAGTGAACCATATTTCCAGCAAAACCTTGTTCTACAAGTTATCACAAGCTGGTCAGATTTTGTAGCAAAAGTTTGCACTACAAGTTTTTATAAGACAGTCAAACATTCTTTTTTGTAGCATAAGCTCCTCTTTAAGTTGTCATAAGATAATCATACTATTGTTCCTAACAAAAACTTGTACTACAAGCTCTCATAATTCAGTAATGACTAAAATTTCTTTTTGTAGCAAAAGCTTCCTCTGCAGATTGTCTCAAGTTAATGAGAATATTGTGCTTCTAACAAAAACTTGTACCAAAAGTTTTCATAAAGCACTAAAATTTTCTGTATGTAGCAAAGGCTTTTGGACAAGATGTAATGAGGTAGCCAGATTATTGTACTTCTAGCAAAGGTTTTCTCTGCAAGTTGTCAGAAAGTATAAAACTGCATTTCTAGCAAAATCTTACTTAAGTCAAACTTTATATTAGGTTGTCAACAAATTAATATTGCTTTTTTTAGATGAAAAACCCAAACAATTTATATATCAAAACAAAACATTTATTAAATGAAATAGTCTCCATTCTTATTGATGATGCTTTTCTATCTTACATTGAGGTTGTTAATGCCCTGATTAAAGAAATCACTTGGCTTTTGAAGCAAAGAACATGTCGATGTCCTCTTTAACAGTTTCCACATTTGCTTACATTTTCCCATTAAGATGGTGTTGAAGTGAACAAAAAAGATGGTAATCTGATGGTGCCATATCTGGAGAATCTGGTGGGTGGGGGAGAACTTTCCAACCAAACTCCATAATCTTGTGTTGCATCAAATGAAATGTGTCGCATGTGGATGTGCATTGTTGTGGAGAAGAAGAACACCTTTTCGATTGATGAGTGAAGGGCATTTCTGATGAAGGGCTTGATTTAAACGTTCCAGTTGCTGACTATGGATCTCTGGATTGAGGAGTTCAATATAAATTAGACCTTTGATGCCCCACCAAATGCAAAGCATCACTTTCTGCTGATGGAGTCCAGGTTTTGGGGTCAGAAGTAGTTTTTGTCTAGGACTGAGCCATTGTTTTTGGCATTTGATATTCGCATAGAGAATTCATTTTTCATCACCAGTGACAATTCTATTCAAAAATGGTTCACGCGCATTACGTGCCAGAATTGACAAAGCAATGTCCACACGTTGAAAACGATGATCGATGATCATCGGAGAATTCGTGAGGCACCCAAGCACCTTCTTTATGGAGTTTTCCCATATTCCTTAGATGTGTGCATATTGTTTCATGAGAGACATGCAATTGCATGGCCATTTTACGAATGTGTTGCCTTGGGTTCGACTCAAACAAGCATCTTCAGAGCATCAATATCAATTCAAACATATCAGCCTCTGCCATCACAGTTTTTAAGGCTAAAGTCACCTGAACAAAATTTACTGAACCATTGTTGACACTTACGAATGTTCAAAACATTTCCATAAATTCTCAGTTGAGGCTGTCCGTGATCTTATCTGTAGTGAGGTGAAGACATACATTCGGTCCTGTAGTGTATTTCTGGGGGACTCCAAAGCTGCACTTGCAGGTGATGCTGGGCATTCTGGAGAGAATTTAGATTTGCTTTATCCAGTGCCTACCTTTACTCTTTTGGCTTCTCATGAGGCCATTTTGGATCAGCCACTTCTGTCTCCTTTTCTGCGATTGGTATTTCGAGTGCATGGTTGCTTTTGAGTCTGCACCTTCCTTGATTGTGGAAATGTCTGAGGGTGAGTACTTAGTTCTCCCTTCATCCCCTGATTCTGCAGTTCATTCAGGGAGGTTTACTGCACGGTTACGGGAAAGGACAGCTATGCCTTGTCTGCAACATTTGCCAGAACAACAGTCTTTCACCTACCACCACTCTCAGAGAATAGACCTACTCCTGGAAGTGTGGAGTTCCAGATCAGAGTCTGTGGTCAATTTGAATAGATCAAAATTTTTTAGGATTCATCTGACCCTAACTACTGTGCTGAGATATTTATCATCCCTACATTTTTTTAGGAAGCTTCTCAGTGATTGCCACATCACTTTGATGATGAGTTGGGACCATTGTTTGCATCCACTTTGGTTCAATTGTCAGCTTCTGCTCTTTCTCTAGTCTATTGGCTGGTATGTTGTTGGGATTTGTTGGATATAGATGAATTGTTGGAGGACGTTTGTCTATCTGTTGCCACCCTCCATGAGTTATGTGAGGCTCTTGTCTCCAACCTTTGATTTTTTCGTGCATTCTAGAGTCTTTGGATTTGAGGGTTGGTGTTGTCCATCTGCGTTCATCCCTGTCATCATTGACTTCTCGACTTTCCTCAACTCCTACAGGAGTCATAGTTTTGCCCCTATTCAAGTGTCCTGACCACTGATATCAGCCCCCTCAGTTCATTGGTACCCAAATTAGATTCCACCCATATCCATGAGGTTCTAAAACTCACAATGGAGTCATTTCTCACTCTGCATTTGTATTTTTCACCAGGACTGTGGATGACCAAGTTTGATGTGGCTAATGCCTATCTGCATGTTTCTTTATCTGCATTTCATGCATGAGGATCTGATGCTGCAGTTCAGGGCTCTGCTCTTCGGACTAGCATTGGTTCCATATGTGTTCTGCCAAATTGTATGAACCTTTTCTTGTCACCTCTATTCCCTGGGCCTGTACACACACCATTCCATGGAAGTCTGGCTACTGCTGGCACTATCTAGTCAGTTGGAGGAACATTAAACCCACATGCTGCTTTCTGAAGCAACCAAAGCAAGATTTCTTATCAGAGCCGAGACATCTCTTCTTATTCCAACACAATATAGTATCCATCTGGGTGTCTTTTTCAACACATATCTCAGTTGGACTTAGCCAACTCCCATCTGGCTCCACACTATGGAACAGGTATTCTGCCTCTTACATCTTACATTTCTTATCAGAGCCGAGACATCTCTTCTATTCCAACACAATATAGTATCCATCTGGGTGTCTTTTTCAACACATATCTCAGTTGGACTTAGCCAACTCCCATCTGGCTCTACACTATGGAACAGGTATTCTGACTCTTACATCGTCTTCTCCCATGATTTTTTCTCTTTTTTTTGTGGATGGGCATAACTCCCTCATTCCTTTAGTATGGACGCACAGGAAAATCCCTTCAGTGGTCTCTATGCAACTAATGGATCATGATCAGTTATCCACTTGAATCCCCAGTTTCCTTCTTCAGGATTAACATCTTTGATCTTGAGGTAATTCGACCTAAAAAAATAGTACAATCGGTGTTCCACTGCTGCCACCTTGTCCAGAGTTCATCTTTTCAGGGATGAGGTGCATATCTCAATGATAAGGAATTCCAGGGTACATGGATGGATGGCAAGGCTTCCCTCCACATCAGTATTTTAGAACTTCTTGTTGTTCAAAGGGTGATGTCTCAAGGTATGGAATTATTGAAGGGCAAAGTCGTCATGCTTCACTCCAATAATTTTACAGTGGTGTCTTACATTTCTCATCAAGGGGACATTCAATCCAGGTGTCTTTGTTTTTGAATCTTGGAACTTCTATATTGGGTCCACTCCTATCACATCATCCTACTAGCTTACCATGTTCTCAGGATAATGAATTTAATGGTGGATCAGTTGTCTCAACCATACCAGATTCTCCTGACACAGTGGATGCTTCCTCGAGGGATTTTCTGTTGGATTTGCTATCAGTTTGGGAAAAAGGTCATCGACGCATTTGCCACTCATTGGAACACTCAGCTACAAGAATTTTGGTCTCTGGTACCTCACCCTCAGGCATTGGCAATACATGCATTCATTCAGGACTGGATTGGATTGTATCTATATGCCTTACCCACCTCTTTGACCCTGGTTTCTGCTTCTGCAATATGTTCAGAAGTGCCCACCACTTTCACTTCCTTCTTGGCCATCTCTGTTGAGGCAGCCACGATCCGTCATCTTAAACCCATCCAACCTGAGGCTCAAGCTACATGTGTGGAGGTTATGTGGCCCTTTACATTGCATTGGGGTTGAACTTCTAAGGCTGCCATGCACCTATCTCATTCTGAATCATTCCATGATGTACATTTATCAATGGAAATGGCACACATATCGACAATGGTGTATTGCGAGGAGGTTCAACCCATTTCGCTCAGACGCTCCAACCATAGCTTGGTTTTTGACAAGGGTTTCACATTTTCCACAAGTGCCATATATAAGGTGGCCTTATTAGCTACCTTTATATACTCCAAGAAATTGAAATTCTTTGAGTCTCCAATACTCTCTGGCCTCCCCAAATTGCTTTGGGTCTTTTGTCCTAAACAACCGTTTTAGTTACCTAATCAGAATATAACTGTGGTGTTGCATGCTCTTTCCCAACATCCATTTTAGCCCTTAGACTCATGTATCATGTATCACCTTTCCCTTAAATTTCATTTTTTGTTGCTGCTGGCATGTGGATGATGCTGATTGAAGGTGTTTGAGCAGCACATGCACAGGATGTTTTATCATTCTACCTTTGTCCTTCTATACCCAGACAGATCCTTTTTACCTAAGACACTGGCAGTCAGGGAAGGGAATAAATCCTTTTTACTGAGTCATTTGCCCACTATATCTCACCACTCTGACCAATCAGATCCTGTTCATTTATTATGTCTAGTGAGGGCCGTGAAGTGTTATTTTGTCTGCACTAAGGCTTTTAGAGGTGCTAGACAATGGCTTTTTATTTATTGTGTCCCTTCAGTTTCCCAGGATTTATCCCCAGATACCATGACAAATTGATCCATATTGCTTATTCTGGGCTCTTTATGGAGTCAAGGAGATTTCTACAAATCATGTATCATCAGATTCATCACATTTCTGTGTCTTTAACAGCATGGTTGAATTTCCCGCTAGAGGACATTGTGTGGGCTGGTGTGTGGACCTCCCCCAATACTTTTATCTCACATTATCTCTAAGGGTTTTCAACTACCCCCTGTAGCTATCCACTAGATTATAAAGATAAAGAGGCATGAGTATTTTCATTACTAATCTCAACTCTTAGTTCTTTCTACATAATCCACTCTATGGTGAGTGTTGCCCAGTCAGGTGCACTTTTATCAAACCAAATCTGCACTAGTAACCACTAAAACAATATACTTTATCTAGGTTGTAACAGGTTCTGTAGAAATGAGTTGTTCCATAAGACACCTAGAGGCAGACCAGGTGGTATTACTGTACTATGCTGGACTGCCACTCGTGGACTATTATGAGTAAAGCATAAAGGGATCCTGCCTGTCCCTGCCAATCAGTGGATTGCATAAATTGGGGTTGGTTTACTTTTATAGATTTAAAGAACTTGGTTCCCCTAATGCACTGTTTCCAAATTGTTGTTCCTCAGGACTCCCCAACACGCATTACCCCATCCTCCGTATTCTAATAGTAGAGCTAGGGAATCCTTACCACCACTCCTGGTTTCCAGTCACTGGGGTGGTGGACAGAGGTTATTCCTCCAGAGTGTTTGAGTGTCTTTCTTCCACTCTTGGAGAAGAGGGCAAAGTTGAGGGACTTCCTAGTTGGGACCCTAAATGTTTTTTTGTCCCAGATGTTGGTAGTTCATGAAAGAGGATCCATTGTCTCCTTGTAATTCTGAATGTAGAGTGGTCCCATCCTGGGTCCTTGGTTGAGCACTGTTTGTTTCATGTCTTCCCCATAATTCTGGGGGCAAGTGGAATTTACCTTGCCCACACAGTTGGGGAATGAAGATGAGTGTTCATAATTCCAGACTGGATGAGTTCTGTTTCCTGAGGTGAGTATGGTATACTGGATTCCATCATTCTGAGCTTAGGGTGTTGCCTTTCAGGTTGAGGAGAAGGTTTATGGTGTGTCCACCTTGGTGTTGCTTACTTTCTTGTTGTGATTTCAGTGGCTTGGAATGCATCACTCTACAGATACAGGTTGTTATCCACTCACAAATATATCTATTGTGGTCCAAATGCCCTAACCAACAACATGGATTTAGGGGCCATGGCTCTGTAGTTATAACCTTGAGCAGTAGGACCTTGGCTATGGTAGGGGCTTGGCCAATGGTGATGACAGATCATGTCATATTCCACCTGAAGTGCATGATTAGGTTCCGGGTGAAGAGCATACCTGTTCTGATTGTAGTGCAGTTCCCCTACTAGGGCATTAATTTCTATTGGCACGACTGTGTTCTGTGCAGATACATTCTGTATGGATAATGTCCTCACCAGCCACTCCACCTTATCAATGTGGGATTTTAGCTGTTGTGTGAAAGGATGTAACTTTGTTTTGGCAGTTAACATTTTCATAAATCAAAAATTTATTTCCAATAATACTTACCCCTTCTCACACTCTCCTAACCTTCCTCCCCACTAAGAGCTGGTGTTAGGGACTGCAGATTGGGTCTGTCTCAAAAAAGTGACAATATTATTTGAAGGAGGTGCTTATATACAGTACCAAGATGGAGGGGAATTGATGAAGATGGAGAGTGTAATGAAATAGATATTACGAAGGGCAATTAAGTGGGGAACAAAAGACTGAAGCAAACAAGAAAAAATCAGACCAATGCTTAGATGGGGAAAGAAAAAGAAACCCTAACAGTCAAGTACTAGCTGTAGTGTGAGAGGATGCAAGTATTATTGGAAATACATTATCGATTTAAGAAAATGTTAACTTTCATAACGTACAATATCCTCCATCTATTTGATGAGAATTCTGGTTTTCACTTAACAGAAGTAAAAAATAAGCATTTTGTACACATTATAAATAAAGATTTTTTTAGACGAGTTAACATGTAGGATCACATATTGAAGTACTTTTTTTGAAATTTGTTATAAATAGAGATGCTATGATATTTAGACAACTTCAGATAAACTGAAAAACAGAACAAAACTATCTGTGTTTGTTACAAGAAAAAAATTAAAGCTACCATGTGTAAAGAGAATTCAATAAAAGTTGCATGTTAAAAAATTGTTTTTTTTCTTTTCTCAGTGTCCTTAATAGCAATACGAACATTGGGTCTAATGGTTGAATTGATTTTTATAGTCATTAATATAGGGGTATGCATTAAAGATAGGGTACAAGGAAACTCTGACCCTTTTTTTTTTGCAAATGTCTTCCATTTTAATAAACATAGTGACAGAAATGACTCTGTGAAATCAACCATTTTAAAATTGAAATCTCTTTTCACACATGTCTGAATCTTGCAAAGTAACTATTCTGATTAACTTATAAGTAAACAGAAAAAATAAAAGATCAACTAAAAAGAAATGGAAACTTGAAGCACTGTTTTTTTTTAAATAACTTCCGTAACAGAAGCTAATCATACAAGCTGTTATAAAACATTCTGTCATTTTGTTTTGTATATGAAGTTAAATCTTCTCAACTGTTACAAGGTACTGAAACTTTTTTTTTGCAGAATTAGTGATTAAAGCATTAAGTAATAAATGATGAGAGGGACCTTGGTGAAACTTTATCAGCTATGTCAGTTTATGTTCATGGTTTTACTTTGTTACTTAGAATGATTTATTATTTTGTAGGTGATTGCAACACTAAAGAATTTCCCAGTGTTTACTGAGTATTTGGAAAATGTCAATGTACGTGATAAGATGATCACAGAAGAAGGAGGAGTATGGCAATTAGTACATAACAGATTTCCTTATGATACTGGTAAGCTGATGGAAACTAGAAACTTTGTAGCTCATGAATGTTAATAATGGATTTCCTTCATTCATATCCTAGACAGTGTATCTGGAAAATCTTACTTGCTGTTTTTTACCTGGATTTTGTACTAGATGACAATTAAAATATTGGTTTGGTCCTTTATGTTACTGCTATTGCCATGTTTAGAATATAAAGAAGAAACCTCAGACTTGTTGAAGGAGTGAATATATTCATGACATATCATTTGCATAATGTCATTATTATGATTGTCTACTACAATAACCAAGTCAGGTTCCATTCACTTAGTTTACTGTGATATTCTGTTTTGTACAGGAAGACTAATTGTGTCATTAGGGACAACTTAATTATAAGAAGGCATATCACTCAGTGCAATAATTTTTGGTAAACTATTAGTGGTGGATTATGTGAAACAAATTTGCATGAAACTACACATTTGTAGTTGCTGTATACTGCTTTGTGTCATTAAGTGATTACATTCAACTCATTGACTATCTTCACATGATGCTTGAAATAATCAGAAACACTAATTTTGATTAATTGATTATTCTCATGAGTCATGACATTAATCAAGTAAGTTAAGCTTGCTTGAATTCAACAGAAATAGTAGAGATTCTGATGGCTATATTCTGATTAGTTGGAATAATTGGAAACACTAATTTTGATTAATTAATTATTTAACATTATCTATCTGGGACAGGTATTTAGTTTTCAAGTAAGGTTCGAGAACCTACTCCAACTGTTTATTCCTCTTTGCCTCGCAAGCTGAGAAGATTTTTGGAACTAGAGTGGAAAAAAACAACACACACACACTCAGTGATTGCATAGTAGGAAGAGACAAAGGATGACAAAATGATGACAATGGACTATGAATATGAAGGTGAAAAATAATGCTTGTTCTGTGCCCTAGCTGGAAAGCAAAACATGATTTAAATAAATATACAACATATGAGTATGATGTACTTGTTATAGGACGAGTGTTATTCATTATTTATTTGTGTTTGTTTGAGGTATATAAGGGGATAGTATCTTATAGGGTGCACTGGAAATCATATGAAGTGTTGTTGTGAGAGGGTTTCTTGTTTTTACTTTATTATAGTAATTATGGGCTAGTTTACATAATCTTTTTTTAAGAGGAGGAATATTGCCAACTTTGTGTAGATATTTAATTGGAGAGTATCTTGGAAACTTTACAGTTAATCTTAAGACCCTGTTCTGTTGAAGCTGGAGTTTGTTGAGAATATTGACATTTAGTAGGTGACTTGGCATCTGTATTCTTTGACTAGATGAATATACGTTTTATAATTTTTTTTTTATAGTTTCCAGTGAACAACTTATATTTTGTCCAGTGATAAATCTTAAGTGGTTAATGCGATTGCTAAGTAACTCATGAAGTTTTCCAATGTGTTCTGCCCATTCTATCAAAATTTGGCACTAGAGTTTCTTTTAAAGTCTGTATTGCCTATTTTTAGTTTAACTTCTTTTCACTTTTTAAAATGTTTATACATCTGTGATGAAATGTTATGCCTTGAGTTTGAGCAGGTTTAAAAGGACCTGTCAGTCATTACATCAATTAATTATAGCATTTAGTGATTTTTATACACGAGTCACAGTAATTATCAGATTTCTAGAAACACTCCAAACAGCAATGTCATCTGAATATTGAGAGAAAGAGGTGTATATTAATTCAGGAAAAAGTATGTTGTTGACAAAAATAATATAGAGTAGTTTTGACAGAACAGAACCCTGTGTTATGCCTGCTGTAATGTTAAATGTTTTGGAGATAATGTCATTGATTTTTACTGCAGCTGTGTGCTCGGTTAAGAAGTTTGATATCCATCTCATTAGCACTAAGTCTGTATATTATGGCATTGTGACAAACAATATCAAAGGCTTTACATACATCTAGAAAGACTGTGATCATGGCATGATTATTATTAAAAGATCTTTAAATGAATTCTGTACATTTGATAGGAGGTTGTTGGTTGTGCAGTAGTAAAGAAGTCTTTGAGCAGTAATATTTCCATTAGCTTTCCTAAACAGCTAAGGAGAGTAATGGGTCTAATGTTTTTTGTGATAGATGTAACTGTAGGATCTTTGAGAATATAATTACTTTTTCCATGTGTTTGGAAAGTATCCTGATAATAGTGACAGGCTCATAAAGTTATATTAAGATTATATTTCTGATCCCATCATGGCCAGGAGCTGAATTTTTGAGTGTGCGTATGTTGACATTTATTTCAGCTTTAGTTATTTTGTAGTTTAAGATGTCACTGTGGTTTGATGGGAAGCATGGAGTTTATAAATGTGGATTGTTTTTAACACGATTGTTAACTATCTGATGGATAAAGGGGGGGGGGGAGAATGAGTGTTGTTAAAAGTTGTTTCAAAGTAATTGGTTAGGAGATTAACTTTACTTAGATCTGTTTTTGCTGTGGTGTTATTGTATTTAATCTGGTGAAAAGTATTATTATTGTTTTTGGCTCAGTTTATAGATTTAAGTTTTCTCAAAAAAATCTTTTTGGTCATTATGTGTTTGGTCTAACTTGTTGCAAAAGCATAGCCAATTATCACTTTTAAGTGTGTGGATATTATGTTTTATTTCTGCAGTACGTTTGTTGATATACGGTTTAATTTTTGTGTCATGGGAGGCAGTGAGTGATCTCCTGAGACTGTCTTTCCATAATTAGATTATATAGTTTGGGTGTCAATTTCCCATGATTATATAAATATTTCCAGGAGGTCATGGGTATTATAGTGTCTGCAACAGTGGTAAGATTTGGGTAAAGTAGTTGTCCAGCTCGGTTTTATTTTCTATAGTGATTTTAACTTGATCTAATCAATGTTCATAGGTAATGAAGTTAATTACTTAACTCTTGAATTGTAATCAAGTCTCAGTTTTCACGTTTTTAGATTACTTTTAAACATTATAGGTATATGTCAATAATATATATATCTGAAACCAAGTTCACATTAATAGATTCTGGACTTTACAAGCTATCAAACGTAGCTCAAGAATTCTGTCAAAAACTACATGTACTTGATAATCAAGAGCCATTAGTTTAAACCTCACCGAGGCCTTAGTTTTACTTCTTCAACTTAATTTCTATACTAAGCAACTAGTTTACCATATTCATATTTTATGTGACATTTTATGAAGGAATTATTTTGCTGTAGCTGTAATGTATTATACTGCACAAAGAAATTAGTTTGAGATACTGTAAACAGTTACAGATTATATAAAAGTGTCAGTTGGTACCTTTTAGTTTTGTGTGTGAACATATTAATTTTTTAAAACCTTCTTGATAAAAATTTCTTTGGTATTGACATTGTTGAAACTTTGCCAACAAAAATGTGATTCAGCAACTGTTTTTGTCATTATTCTGATTATTTGACTCTGACTGAAAGAAAAGGGAAGAAATGAGTGTCTTCCCTTGACATTATGCTAATTTATAACAAAGCTAAACAAACAACTGAAATTAATAATTATTGACCTAGGATTATAAAACTTAACTCGTAAATAGTATTAACTTTTTATTTTTATTAAAGGTTTATTCATATTTCTGTAAACTTTTGGTGTCTATCATAATTGGCTATCTGTTTTCAATAACACTTATGTATAGTGTAGCTTATCCTTTAAAACTGTGCAACAAGAATTTTTGTACTTGTATATCAGAGTAAGAAATATTAAGTTGTAATATGTGTGTGTTTGAACATGATTATGTTCTTTGTTCAGTTTTATTTGGTGTGTTATTTCTTAACTAATTTTTTAGGTCATAGCATATGTTTCTTATTCTCTGGTTGTTAAAAATTAAATAGCATATTCATATTTGTAACATACATCTTGATGCTGATTTTTTTTGTAGATGTTATAAATTTTCACATTTTTAATATTTATTGATTGCTTTTTGTGTATAGATTCCTTGGTGCTACCTAGAGGTACTCGTGGTATGATTTTGCCTCAAATGGGTAAGTTTTGTTCATGTTAAAATTTCTTTGCTTTACAAATATATATATATTATCCAGATTCAGAATTAGATTAAATAAGAAATTAAAATTTATATATTTTTATGTAAGACATTAAGAGAAGGTAATAATGTGAAATGAAATGAAACTTGTGGTTATATATAAATGTTTATATTGCAGTTAATTGTGTGCCACCCTGCTGGTTTAGATAGTTAAAAGTTGAAACTTATTTTTTAAAAGTTTTATTTATATAACTTTATGTGTAAAATTTATTTTAAATCATAAATTTTGATTTTGGGTTGATTTTATCACGCTCTGAAAGAAACATTAGTGTTTGTGATTTTACTGAATTTTTTCTGAGCATAAAACAGCACTCATAGTCCCGTAGAAGGAAAGCCAAAATGTTTTTGAACAAAGTACCAACAAGTTGGACCTTATAACTTCAATTCAGTTTTCTCAACCATGGTTGTCATGGTTTGACGAAACTGTCTATATCTTAGCTTTGAGAAGTCGTAGATCTAAATTTGTAGTGAAAGTAGTCTTTTTCAATTTTTTTAAACTGTTTAAACTAAGCTGGTTCAGCAAACTTGCTAAACTAATCTGAGCAAAGTGACAAAAGCTTCACTTGGTGATATGTTGTCTGTGAACAACTTCTGCCACAGTTACAGTCCTGATTTTTTTTTTAATTGCAAGAAACTTGATTTATCATCTTATATTTAATTTGAATTATGATGTTGTTCCATTAAAAACACTTTTTTTCCTATCATGGGTGAGAAATTATGAGTGTCTTGCTCAACTCATGCTTTTAATAATCTAACAACGTGACATAACATGGATATGAGTGGTTACGAATCATATACATAGTGAAAAGGCTTATAAATGGCAAACTGATGACCTTTTTTAGCACTGTTATTACATCTGGCAGTTTTTTTTTCTGGCAATTTGTACGTTATTTGTTACTATATATTATTGATGGGGAGGGGTCACCCATGAAACTACAACGACAAAATGTAATTACTGAATATGAATACCTCCTGATCCCATCAAGGTTGAGACTGATTTTTGGTACAAACTAAGAGGATGGTGTGAACTTTGGCATCAAATCGTGATTTTGGTCAACCGTGCTCATGCTGACAGTCCAAGTAAAGTCAATGATTCAGAGTCAAAGGTCAAATTTCTGAATGTTAGAAAAATGATATATTTAGCTACAGCATGAATAGAGCTTCCCTGCAATAGTTTATGGTATTAACAGGCATCTCATGAGCCAGAGGGGGACATTTTTGTTGAAAAAAAATAATACCCAGTCTGTTTTTTCTAATTAGAACTAAAATGTTTTGGACATTTTTATTGGCTAAAAGGAAGGCATTTCCCACACTCTTTTAGTGTTGGGGCTGCGAAAAGTGATTTGAAGTGGTAAGGTGAATGAAATCCGTCAGCGCATCACAAGCTTGACAACCAAGCACAAGAAGCATGGAAGTTTCCAAATGACATGCAGATGTATTCAGAAACTGTTTAGAATCACCTTGGTATATATTGTGCAGCAAGCCGAGTACAATATTATGCCTGTAGCTGCTTTCAAAGTGTTCTTGTCATCCTACTGTGATGCTTCGACCTTCCCTACCGAATCACAGATGAAATTGTTCATATCTCATTGAAAGATAAACATAAAAAAGTGATAGCAGAAGCATAAAAGGTTGGCAGTTGTTTAATTAAAGATGCTGAGATCGTGGCTTTATTGATATATACTAAATGTACCTCCAGCAGGTAGACCTTAGTACTAGATAGTATGAGGATGCAGTATTTCACTTAAAAATTTATCAATTAACAAACAAATACTTGTCTCGAAGTTGTCTCAAAAAGATGCATCCAAAACCATCCTCTTTGGGAGTTTCCAGATTGAACTTACTTTTAATATTCAGCAAATTGTAGTGTAAAGACACCCCTTGGTCTCCTGAGGGATGTGTTAAAGATAAAATGAAAAGTTATTGTATTGTTATTATACTGGTCTTACTGGGGGGGAGCCATTTGTGGTTAAATATTTGGTGACCTCTCACATATAAATGTATAACACTGAAGTGAAACTTGACTAAATCTTATATATGTATAATACTGTCATTTACCATCATAACTTAAAGAAGTCAGGTCAGAAACCTTCTAAAGTGATTGTTTTGACACATACTAACCTTTAGATTTTATGTTTTCTGTAGATACCAGAGGCTTCCAGCTAATTCAGTGGCACAAGGTTGTGAATGGATGGCAAGTGTGTCTATGTGAACTGAATGTTAAATTGAAGCAGTTGGCTCATGGTGCAGGTATGATACTTATACAGTGTATGAAGACTTTTTAACATTGTTATCAAAACAATGAAATGAAAATGTGGTTTCTTGAACATAAGTTTTGAAAACCCAATCAGGAGTTAGGGGTTTGAATGATATACGGTGTTGAAAATATTAAAAAGTAAAAAGTGCTTTTGTAATTACACCATTTCATTTATTTGGTATCATCAGGTAAAAAAAAACAAACTCTTACCCTTAATCCAGTGTTTGATAAATATTTGAATTATATCCCATTGCATGAAGTTGAAAAATTTGAGAGAATTTACATTGATATGTTTAGTAGAATTTTATGTGTGAGAATTTTAAACACTTTCAGTTGAAAGGACACAGTTTCTGTGGGATAACTCATTTTGGTTTAACTCTTTTTCTAGGTGCTCAGTTGATTTGCCCTAAATCTTGACCCCAAATTGACCTATAGAGTTTCCTTACTATAACTTTTAATATGTTTTGTGTATCTTCGTGAAATTTCACAAGTTTTCAATAAACAAACAAATCTTTTGTTGACAAAAAATTAAACTTTTAATGAAGTAGTTTTACTTAAACTTTCTCTGTGAATATATGGAGTCAAAATGATGACTTATCCGAGTACAAGATGATTTTGATGGTAAGATTAAAAATACTTTTCTTCATCTGAAAATTGTCAAATTTCATTTGCATAATCTCTTAAAACCTCTTGAATAAATATCTTTTTTTTTTCAGTAAAACTATATTTTATCTGTTACTTTCTTTACCCTAACTTTGGCTTTTTATTAGTTATAAATAATACAATATAAAACATCAAAGGAAACTAACTATTTGCAATTTGTGAAATAGAGGATGTGACAGGTGGGTGTGGCAAGAGTGGTCTGATTTTCTAGTTTATGGCTTCGTAAACAATAAGATTGAAGGCTATAAAAATTTCTTTGCATGTGTAATAACTTCATTTGAAAATTTTTTGGTATACAAAACTTGAAGATAGCTTTTATATGCAGAAACATCTGTTAGCTGAGTTCTTGCACAGATCTTAAAATATAACGTTGATAAACGGAAACATTGGCAGATATGTAGATCTTGTAAGTCGAGTTGTTCAGAATTTTTTAACTTTATTATAATCAGTAATTTACATTAAATTCTGTACTGCTGGGAGGGATAGTAAATAAATTAGAGAAGAGAGGATACCTAGAGAGAAAATGTCACAGTTCTCATATTAGGATGAGACTGAAATTTTTTAAAATCTTTTTTTTTATAAAATTAAGAATTTAAAACTTATATAATATTAAAATTTGATTTAGTAGCTACTTTTTTGATGACAAGTTTATTCATATACCATGATAATAAAGTAATTTAACTAAATTTTGAATGTAACACGCTAAAAGTTCATGATGTGCACTTTTATCTGCCTGTAGTGAGTGGGCTAATTTCTAATTTTTACAAATTCCAAGTAACATATTTTCATTATGGTGAGTATGAAAATTTTTTTAAGTGTGTAAGTGTTAATTCATTAATTATATGCTTCACAAAAGTTGGCAAAAAAATTTGCTGTTTCAATGTCAGACATCAGTGTTGATGTAGTAGTTTTTAGTTGGGAAGAAAATTGTTGTTCATTACTTTAATTTTTTCAATTTTCTTCTTTTAGGCTATATGACCCAAGAATCTGTCGAAAAAATAACAGACATTGCAATCTTGACATGGTCAGTTTTGAAGTCTGATATCAGTACATATAGCCAGTTGACACACATTATAAGTGAACTATTTACAGCATTTCAGAGGTAAGATTTAAATATTCCTTTACACCAGTAGGTAAATCATTTCAGTAATTATAACTTCCTAACCTCTTGGACATTAATGACAATAACAAGTTTGTACTATTCATACATTTTTTTTATATATAACAAGGTCATATAATGCTGCATTAAGAGCTTCATATTTATGGCTTAGATGTATTGTAATCTCGTTTGTTCATTGAATGCTTTTTATATTAAAGTTTAATAAACATATTTTGTGAATTGGCACTTGCTGTATCTGAAATTACAAATTTTGGCCCCTACCTTGTTTCTTTTGGGTCATATATTCCAGGTCATTTCATAGCTTTATTTTACACATTAATGATTTCCTATTCTTGCTTTTATAAATTTAATAACATACTTTTACTTATAAAATACTCTTCATGGTTTAATTATTCTAAGTGGATTGTGAAAAGTTTACTAAAATGCAATTTGAATTTTCCTTTAAGATTTTCTCCCCTCTCAATGCCACCCATCAAGCTGTTGGCAGTGTGTCTAGACATCATTGGACTTTTGGTCACTCAGGAGTCTCAGAGAATTTGGAATCAACTGGTCCAACTAAGCTTCTTACCATTTCTAACAGGAACAGCCACCACTGTTGCCAGTCTTGCAAGGTAAACTTTTCATTTTTTTCAGGTTTCAAATTAAGAGAATACATAAAATATAGATCATTTTGGGAAAAAACTGTAATATTAAGTTTTACTACTTCTTACTAAAGTATAAAAAAAGGGAGTAGCTTTAGTAAATCCCAGAAACTGTAAATAGTTTTACAGCAAAGAAGAGACTGAGGTTTAAATATGCTAAAACTTAGAAGAGAATTTAAAAATTTTTTCATGTTATTTATGATGTTTTGTTTTTAGAAAATAGTACCATTGAGTGCATATATATGAGGATCAGTATTATTGCTTGTATGGCTAATTGTGTTTCGACTTCGTGCACCACTTTGGGGGGTAACCTATATTAGTTTAAGGTTACTATGATTATTTATGTTCAGGTGACAAAGTGCTTCCTTTAGTTGTAAAAAAGGTAAGGAAATACAAAATCTATTTTCTGTAAAAAAATTTAATATCATGGAATCCTTTGCACATGTTTGTAATTAAACAACTAAAAAGTTACTTTGTAAATGTTTTTAGAGAGGGAAGAACATACCTAGAATATTCTTTGGGTGAAACAGTTTCAGTGTAATTTGCATTAAGGAGACAAAGAGGAGAGTTCATAATATATTATTGGATTAATATGTTGCTAGTTTCTACTCTTCACTGGAGTACACTTAATAAAGGTTATCTAATCTTCTTCTGTGAAATACTTACTCCAAACAACCTAATATCTTATTTCTCATCTTTTTTTTTCAATTTGACAATATAAAAAGGCAAAAAGTTTTATGCTTATTTCATTCCTGTTTAAAAGTATTGAATTTTGCTGGGTGTTTAATTAAGTGATGTAAAACTGTTTTTAAATAAACAAACAGTAATTAAAGAATATTGTCAATAAACTTTGTAATACAAAGAGATGAATACGTTATATTAAAATGGTTTTAGAATCTGCAAGTCAGCATGTCATGTGATAACCACATATCACAACTACATTTTGCATTTCATAAATAGTGTGAAACCATAAAAAATGTTAACACTTTTGGGAAGGATATGTAACAGCCCATTTCCAATGTAAAATACTCATATATACAGATAATAAAGTTGTGTTAAGATTGAGGGTTTAGAATTTCCAAGATGGGGGTAACCCAAGTGTTTAATGAATTTGAAGAACAAAGGAATGTGGATCAACTTTGGGCACTGGAGGAATCTGGAAATAAACCTACAGCAAGCTATACCCCAGCCATGGTAAGCAAAAGGCAACATCTTGTAACAGGTGAGAATTTGTTTACACAAAGGTCAATGGCAAAAGGCATCTATGTGCTCCAGACAACAGTGTACAACATAATCAAGAAGAATATCTCCATCTGGAAAAGTGGCATAAGTAAGATTTACATAAGCTGCTTCCATGATGTATTCATTCAACCTCCACATACCTGACGCATCTGGAGAAGCAAATGGGTATACATGCTATTTCATTCAAATACATACTAGTTGAGTCACCAGATTTAACTCCTATACATTTCTGTGGAATTGGACTATTGAAACAGGAGCTGAGAAACCATCCTCCTTCTACACTAGATAGGTTATGGAAAGCAGTAGAAAAGAGGGGGTGTGCTTTGATCGTGAAAACTTGGAATCTACATAGCAGAGTTATTTTCAAGATGCACAGATAGAGCATGACTGAACATGGCAACATGGATGGTAATGATGTGGAGAGGCTCGAAAATAATTTTAATATAATTTACTCATCCTTTTTAACCCTTTTGCCATGAGCAATGTCCTGACTTTTTAGAGAGTTACATTCAAAATTTAATTAAACTTCTTTATTATCATGGTATACAAATAAACTTGGCATAAAGATGTAGCTAATAAATCAAATTTTAATATTATATAAGTTTTAAGTTCTTAATTTTATAATGAAATATTTTTATAAAATCTTCAATCTCCCCTAGTATGAGAATTGTGACATTTATACTCCAGGTTTCCGTTATTCTCTGACTTAGTTACCACTTCTCACAGAAGTATGGAATTTAACATAAATTACTCACTACAATATATATATTACTCAGACAAAGCATTATATTTATGGCTTTCAATCTTAGTTGTTTACGGAGCCATAAATTAGAAGATCAGACCAACTTGCCACTCCCACCTGTCACTTTCTGTCTTTCACAAATTACCAGTAGTTCCCTTTGATGTTTATTATCTATAACCAATAGAAAGACAATCCTTTAATTTACCAATTTATTTATTACATTATGTTGTTTTCTGAATTGAGAATTGTCTGTTTCATTTTATTCCCATGGGAAACACATTGATGAAGTTCTTATGACGTAGCAACAAAAACACAGAAAATTTATGATAATTATAGGACATTGTTTGTTTTTGGCATGTTATTATTTTGTGTTCTTAAGTGCATTATTTAATTAAATAAAAAATGATTTAGTGTGGTAGTACCATTAGCATAAAAAAGTAAGGTTAAAGGCTTGGTTTGGTCTGAAGTTTCATTTGGTGGTGTCGTCCAGGGTCACTGATGAGGAGTGGAATTCTCTGAAACTAGTCTGGCCCACAGACACCCCCCAATGAAAGAATAGACCATTCCAAGCTTTTACTTGTTCTTAAACAAATGTTTAAACAACTTGTTCAACTATATAAGGTTAAGTTTCATCGAAAGTACACAGCAAAAACAAAAGAAGACCCAGGTAAGTACTATATTTCTTGTTTTTTATGTGTATTCTTTATTTATTATTATAAAAGTAACTAAAATGTAAGAATTTAAAATCATTAGGTTAGATTAGGTAAAATAAAGAAAAACAAATCGATACGTTAACATGAGTTATGCATTTGCCGAGTGACTTACAACTTGTTTGGCTGGATTATTAGTTATACATGATTCAGAGGGCAATAAAACAATAAAATTTAAATAGAAACACATATGTACTATTATGAGCTTTATAAGCTTATTTTGTATAAACAACTGTAGTTTCATGTTACAATTTGTAATCATTCTAGAAAGTAAAGAAGGGTAATTTAGATTTATATATATATCAAACTTAACTTTTTTAATGCTTTACAACACAATATGAAGTTCTCATCATAATTTCAAGATTTTATATTAAATATTTCATTACTAAATATCAACTCTTTACTGTTTTAAAGCTTTTCTACAATATTCTGTTTAGATTTTCAATCCAGTATTCAGTTTTCAACCATTTTTTAAGATTTTACATTGAATACTTGACTGGTAAATATTGTGACAAGGTTTGAATCTGTTGATTAATAAAATCTCTTTTAATTTCAAATCCTGTTTATTGTATATCTTTAAGTTTGATTAAGTTACAGTTATTGGGAACTAGTGGGTGTTTATATGATTTCCTTTTAAGGACATAGTAGGTCTCTATCTTACATTTAGGAAAATAATTGGGCCAGAAAAGGCAAACTTCAATCTGATGAGTTTGGCTCAGCTAGCTCAACAATAGTTGGTATTCAGAGCAGTTTTAAAGTTTATTTCACCTTACAGTTTTATTATTCTAATTGGATATTTTTAGTTGAAAGTAGAGTGGAGACAGTCCATATAGTGTCCCTCACTCCTACTTAAAGCTTAATTTAGGAAAACAAAAGTTACATTTTAAATTAACTGTTAAACACAATCACAAATTTTCATTTTTAGACCTATGTATCCATGACGATGGAAAACTTGATTGAAATTCTGGTTCGTGAAGCATAAGAGTTAACTAGTGCAAGTAAATATTTTCATAAAGAGATAGAAAATATAAAGGAATTCCTACCAAAAAATGCTTTTCCAGCAGGAATTATAAATAAAATGATCATGAATTATATTAATAAGACATTCTTTTCTATACCGTCCAATTTGGATGTACCAAAACAAAAAAAAATTACTTGTCTCTTATGGTATACTTGGAAATGGACAATTCTGCTTAGAAATCAATTGAAAAAGTTATGTCATCAAGCATATCTTCAAGCAGAGTTAAGATGTGTGTTTAGACTTATATTTAGATTACAAATTTTTTTAGATATAAAGATTGAATATTAGTGAAAAAACTAATATGGTATATGAATATAAATGTTACTTGGGTTATATAGGTTTAACCACTAGAGTGCTAATCAGTTAACCCTTTAGCTGTGTTGGTAGAGTATTTTGAATGGTGTGTGAGATGTTTAGAGTTGATCCAGAAGGTACAAAAGCATAGCTTCACCAAACCTTTTTGCATAGTGATTCAAATCTGTTTTTCAAAATGCTGAATAGGTCTAAAATTTAATTAAAATAGATGATCAAGCAATGTAAGTGAAATAAGCTTTTAGTATTGTATTGCTTGAAGACAGTTTTTTAATTGTTCTTTTATAACAAGAAGAAATTTAATCAGATATCCGGTGGATGCATCTTGTGCAAAAACAAAGTATTTGTAATGGGTATGCAGTATTCTTATGATCTTTTTTCTTTTGTTTTAAAGTGGGAACAATTACAAAAAAGAAAACTTAATATTTTCTTTCCTACAGTGGAGCATATGTAAATGTTGGAATTCTAGGGAAACAGGTGGCAGCCCAAGAATGTATGTCTGGACAGTATCCACTGTGTATAGCTTTTTTGAACTTGGTAACTTCAGCCATAGAGGTCAGATTTTAAGTTTGTTTGTAACTTTTATCAGTTAGATTTTGTTTTGTGTTTAATTATTGTGTAACTTATGAATGATTATATATATAGTCTTGTGTTCCTTATTTTGTTTGTTTTTTCTGTAGAATTCAATGATTATGATTCTCTAATAAGGCTAATATAAAGAAAGTTTTTAACATTTTTTTGTTGAAGTGTAATTTTGAGGCACTTTAATAAGATTTATATAAAAATATAATTTAGAATAATTTTTTATGAAAGTTGTGTGATTCAGTTTCTAGTTGTATTTCATTATTTGTGTTCTTTGCATAAGTTATATATCAGAGTGGCTCCATTTCATAAAAATTTCATGTGTTGTTTACCCTGTTATTGCAGAAATATCCTATGAGATTGAAGGTTTGTCTGTAATACAAGTCAATATGCATGTAAAATTCATAAGTGTAAGCAAGTTACCTTTTTTTTTTCTTGTATTTTTTTTCATTTGAAACGTTAATTTTTTTTTATAGATTATAGGTGAAGATGATGATAGCACTCTGCTTGCTTGTCTAGTTTACATTGTAACAGAGATTTTCCCAGCCTTTTATAAGTGGCGATACACTCAATTTGGAGATAGAGAAATCATTGGTAAGTTGTTGGTTTAGATTGAAGATGACCTGTTGGTGTTGATGATATACACATACAACTGCTCAGATTTTCCATCTTTATTCTTCTGGTTCATTAAAAGTCTGCACGATAAGTCAAACAGTGAAGACTATGGTAAAAGGAGACTCATTATACTTGAGGATATATATAAACCAAAAAAAACCTATTGAATGTAAATAAGTTTCCAAAAAAAAAGGAAGTAAAATATAACAAAATTACAACTGACAGTAGCAGTTAATGTATAGAGTTAGAAAACAAAAACCTAGAACATAATACTTCCTTCCTTATATGTAGGAATTTTGTAAGAAGGCAAATGATAGTTGCTAAGAATTTCTTAGTTATAAATAAGCTAATCATTGTTTTCAATTACCAGTTTTTAAGTGTAAGATTTTATACTCAGAACTTTCAAAACTGTGGAGTTTTTGTATTAAATAAGTTGCTGGAATTAAAAAAAAAATAACCTAAGGTTAGATATCCTACAAAATGTTTTTCTTTCAAGGCTTTGTTGATCTCTTGTTATCAGTTGTTAGTGATGATAAGCCTCCAATAAAATAATGTGTTCGAAACATGGGCTTATGAAGTAATTTTACATTTCAATTAGGAATGAAACTAATCAGCTCCCTGGTGTAAAATACTTCAAAACAACTTTAATAAGAATTTAAACAGATTAAAATATGTATACATCTTTTCTCACATAAGTTTTACGGTTTCTTTCTATTTCATGTTGCATGGGTATTTACTGTTTTTTTTTCATCTTTAGGTCAGAAGTGTTTGAACATATTCCATAAACTGCTGATGATTTCTGTGGATGGTGATACCTTTAAGCCAAAGTTTGTATTATTAATTGTAATTAATTTAATTTGAAAGCAATATTATCTCCCAAAAAAAAAACACGAAGCTCTGACCAGCTTTTTATATATATACATTAACTGTAATTGTTTAATATATGAACTTTTTCATTGATATTTATCAAGGAA